GTTAGCAGCCCAAGCAAGGCAAAATTAGTTTCTTTCTGCATTTTTTTTTTATTGCTGTGTAATTTTTTAGCATCACCAGTATTATACTTATTACTGTTCATTTAATGAAAATTATTTGGTTACTGACAAAATGCATTTTTCACTCATTCTCCCCCCCCCAGTGATTTCATTGTCAAGAAACATAAAGCTAGTTGTACAGAGGCGTAGATCAATGGATTGTGGCTTAGAAGTTTTATTTGAAGCCATTAAAGATCTTAAAGACCTGCAAATATAGTCAAAAGAGATGTGCAAATCAACATACCAGGATCCCAAGCCAGAATGGGGTGAACTGCTCTGCTGAGGTGGGTGCATTTGATTGCACATTCATAGGAATACCAAACACGAATAGACCTATACCCATCATCACCAGCACAACCTTACACGAGACATATGAAATATGGACAAACATAAAACCAATAATAATCAATATGCAATATCAATAATATTGCCTATGTAATCTTAATAACAGGAGGGAAACTCCAATGGACTAATACTGTTAGGCAAAGACACCTAGTGAAAACTGGCTATTTTGTTTACATGTGGAAGTTGTCACAAGGTCTGTCTCTCTGATCTCTATAAGGGTTTGAGTCAAAAGTACAAATACACAAATGCTTGTTTGTCTTACCTTTTCTTTTCTACAAATAAGAATCCATAAGAAACTACCTTTATTTTCCCTGTATACGTGTGTTAAAGCGATGTGTGGGGGGATGCATATGCCTATGCAGAAAGTGACTATGTAAACTAAACATCCTCTGAGAAACATTCACTGGAGTAAATGTGAGAAAACTAGCCTTGGTTTCCCCTACATCGCATCAGTACTGAACTACGTGCCTATTACAGAAGAGTGTAGTACTGCAAAGGATAAGCCAGAATTATCTTTGCTTAATTTGGTTTCTGTGATTGAAAAGACTGGACGATGAGGAAGTTCTGTGTCTCACTCCGATACTCTTGGGTTGTCCTCTGAGGAAACGGTGCACAGGTTTACTGCCACCCGTCACGGTGCTGATCACCTCTGATACGCTTCCTGCTGGTCGATCCTCCACCATCACTACAGCACAAATCACAGTAACGGCAATTATAAGAACATTTTTGTTTGAGGCTTTTGGCAGTTTT